ACAAGCAGTTCAACCTCTTACAAATTTTCAATAAGAAAGGAGGAGGAGAACTCTCTAGCAAATTGAAAACAAGACTTGCTAAGACTTTCTAAGACTTTTCTCTCAATCAAATGCTTCTCAAAAGTTGTTATCTCGGCTGAGATTTGAGGGGTATTTATAGGCCTCAAGAGGATTCAAATTTTGGGCTCCAAAATTTGAATTTTCTTTGGGTTCCCGATGCTGGAGGTGCCACCGCCCAGCCAAGCGGTGCCACCGCCCAGTGCTCGGGTGCTGGACGGTGCAACCACCCAGCCAAGGAGGTGTCACCGCCCAGCCAGGCGGTGCCACCGCCTAGCTCTTCGATTCATTGGTTTGGCTTAATTTTAGCCCAAACCAAATCTGACTTTGGGCCCAGTTGGCCCCTAACCAGGATATAGGATTATTTCTTAATCCTAATCCTAATTACAAGTGAACTACATAACAAAACACATCCTAAGCAAGTTTTCAACCGCGAACGTCGAGTTTTGTTCCGGCGAGCTTTCCGACGAACTTCTTCCGACGGACTCCCATCAAGCTCCCGAACTTGTGATGACTTTAACGAGTAGCTGTGCCTTCTCGGTGATCTCCGTAAACCTCCGACAATCTCTTCGGCGAACTTTCGAAAGTTTCGACAGGTTCCCGATTTCTTCTCGGTTGGTTCCGGCAGCATCTCCAACGATTCTTCGGACTCTTAAACGTCCATCGAACTTGACTCCGGTATCCTTGCTTTATGTTTTCTGGTTATCGTAGTTAATCCTGCACACTTAACTCAATAATATAGATTAGATCAATTAACCCACCAATTGATTATATCATCAAAATCCGAGATTCAACAACCCCTTGTCATCAAAACTCGATAATGTATTTTATTATCATTGACTGATCGTTTCCGTGGCGTTAGTAATGCTACTTCCTCCATTTGACTTTTCTTCTATATGTTCAACACTATGATTCCCTTCCTTAAATAGTTGTGATCGGTTGGAGTCACGAAGAAATCGAGACTCTTTTGAGATTGCGTGAAGAGGTATTTCTAGACGCGCAAGGAGTTCCACGTGTCTCCTACTGTACAGCATTGATCTGGCCATGCATTTTTGTTGGGGCCCAAGTCCTTCTTGGATTAGGACTCGGCCAAGTGGCATGCTGATGTGGGGCTGAAGTGGATAAGTTATCCCTGCTTCCATCGGTGCCTCAATAGTTAAGATTTATCTCGATTTGGATATTGCATTTCACTTCAAAGGTGAAATATTACATTATGGACAAAATCATCATTCATGCAGATTTTCCACAGAATTGGCAACCATATATGATTTTGTGCTTCATGATGCAATTTTGAAATATTACATTGTGACAATGTATTTTTTGTTCTTTTTTATTTGCATTTTATCATCAAATTGAATAAAAAAACCTCAAAGCCATAATATGCAAATATTTTTGTAAATCATGCTTTAATTTGTAAATTTTTTTTAAATTTCAGACTTTGAAGCTTATAAAAAAATGGTATAACTGAGGTTAAAAACTATAATTTTCTAAAAAATACATTTCTAGTGAAACAAGAGTTGTATTTAAAATAAAAATAAAAATCTCATCTTGAGTCCTCAAAATAAGTCCTAAAGTAGAAATTGCAAATTATTTCAGCCTATTTATGGCTGAATTTTTTCCAAATTGATATACCAATATTTAAAAAAATAGAAAATATGATTATTTAAGTGTCCACAACTCATTTTCAAAGTTAACTTTAGTTATACTGATTTTTGAAGGGGGGTTATATTATTTTTGGATCTCATTCAAAAATAGTATAATTAGGGTGATTTTTATTTTTATTTTTCACGTGAAGACTTTACGCAGAATCTATGATCATATTAAAGGGGTCCTACGAAAGAATATCAGCTTAAAATAAGGCATAAATAGGAAATTTTAGAAAAAATTCAACTTAATTTTCTCAAATTGATCTATTAATCTTTGAAAAAAATATAGAAAGATGGTCATTTATAACTCTTTTTTTTTTCACAACTGCTTTATCCCTCTCAAAATTTTAATTAGTTTTATCCGACTCAATCTTCTTCTTCTTACTGTGAACACTCTTCGTATTATTCTTTTCTTTTCTTTCTCATTTTATAGGGATTGAGATCTTTACCCAACTTATTGGATATCCATTTAGTTTCTGTTCTATTTTTTCTTTGCGACTAAGGAATTCAAATACAATATCAGTTAGCCATATTCTACCTAAGGTTGTGATCTACCTCCCAAGCTTCTTATAATATCAATGAGATTGTTGTATCATTTGGAAGCTATTGTTGTATCACATAAAATTGGCTTTGCTATCGTGACATCTTCGAGTGCAACATAAAAAAGGGGGATAATCAAGAGATGTTGAGATAATATACGAACACATATCGTATTGATATTTACGTGTTCAGGTGAGATCATAAATACCATTTTGTTGATTGCTTTCCGATGCCATACTTAGATTGACCATTTCGATAATCATGAAGATTCTACATCAATTATCAACTTAAAGCTTGGCACATATGCTCACAAAATCACCTCTATCGAAAGCAAATGCAAATGCTAACATACTTGATGGAACCGATAGGGATCATATCATTTCACTTCAATAAATTTATCATACAAAATAATTCATTCATTATACCCATGATAGGTGTAAGCAACTTCCTAAATAATAATCGATAGACATCAATTCTTCCATGTCCTCGGATGAAGAAGAATAGAAACATTGAATACCAAGAATGATAAATTTACCCCATTGATAAAAAGTATTCGAGAAAGAGAAAAATAAAATATCTATGAAATATCCAAATGGGGTATTTATTATCTTAGTAACATTATTGACACAAAAAAAAATCTCTATTATACTTAGTTGGTATTATAACTAAGTGTTGAAAATGATCAATAAAAGCTCTATGACCAGTTACCATCCTGTTTGGATAAGATTTTTTTTTTCTTCTTTTATTTCTCTTCCACATATGATAATTTAGGTGGATATATGTACTACAAATATATGTTTTAAAAAAAATTATAATATATATATATATATATATAAGAAAGAGTCAAATAATCAGATTATTTTATTATGATTGATAATATTAAATAATCAAATTATTTACTATCATTGTCAATAATCAGATGAATATTAAATACTGGTCCACTGAGCTAATCAGCAAAGGAAAGAGGAGGTTGGCTAATAAGTATCAACCAAAGTCAATTGGTCAATCAAGGGGGGGGGGGGGTATTTTCGTCTTTTAATAAAAAAAAAGGACAATGGGCTTTTGTGGGAGAAATTGCTGACGAGGGAGGAGGATGAAACTTGCATGAGTGGAGAATGGACTCAAAATAAAAGGAAAGCGGTTCCTTGTTGATCTATATCTTCCTTTTTTTTTATTGCTACTATTACTATTATTCTTTCTTGCAATCGGGGGAATTCCTATTTTCTCTCTCTTCTTTCTTGTAACTGGGGAATGAGGCCACTTGATGAGAGCTATATCTTCCTTTTTATTACTATTATTCTTTTAACACAGAATGCCAAGTCCAGATTGATCTTTTAATATAATATATGAGATCCAATTCATAAAGGCTATGAATTATTATGATACAAATTCTCCTTCGATACTGAATTCAGCATAAATAAAAAAATATAATATTAAAAAAATCTTTTATGTAATTGGAGAATATGGACAGAACCAACCAAATAAGTGTTTGGTTCAATTTATCTTATCAAACAAGACCAATTTAGATTGATCAGCAGGCTTGCTCATTTTTCATTTATATTTTAGTAAGATATAAGCATCTAGTGATGAATTCTATTCTCAGAATTTATTTCTTTACTCATCAAAATAAATAAAAAAAATCATACAAAATTCCAAAAATATAATATATAATAATGACAATAAATAACTTAGTCTGGTAGCAATAGTAGGGATAGCTGAGGTAACATAAAGATGATAACCAGGATACAAGGAAAGCTTCTTGCAAGTCAACCAAATAAGCTTCATCCACCAGGAATGAACACACATCTTAAATATGTGATGCAAGTGGCAAGATTTGGATCAATGTGTGCAGCTGATATCCAAAACCAAGTGCAGTAAAAACCTGACCAAATGCCATCTAACCAGCCAATCGAAACCAATTAAATTCATATGGGAAAACAGGTAAATTATTCATGGATTTCTCCGAACTCGAAGAACAACAAATGATCAAAAGCAATTTATGCAGATAAAACATAAAACAGTAGCATGGTTTTCACAACTCCCTCACGAGTACAGCTGAACGCTAACTCCTCCAAAACAAGCAATTAAACAAGAAAAGAAGAAAAGGTTTACACGCCTCGCCTACGTCTACCAGAACCAACCTTGGACAACGGCCGATGAGGAAATGATTCCGAATGCAACAGAATCTGTACAATTTCCTATCCCTACTTATCTGGAGTTCCAATCCAGAGCACCAAAATAAGCTCCCCAGAAGAAGTCTTCCAGTCAAAACTCCAACAATGTTTTGGTTCGTAAAAACAAGTGCAACATACGAAGTAGTTCTACGGGTTTCTAAAAACAGCAGCGAAAGCGGAAGTTAAAAATAATAATAGGATAATAACACCGTGCGAATCTGTCCAACAGTCTTTTCCCCTTCCCCAGGCAACAGCTTGTCTTGGTTGTTTGGAGGGAGAAGAATGTCAAATAACCAACTGCTTTTTCTTCATAGCATTATGCAGGACATGAACCCTGAACTAATTGATAAGTTAATGCCCATTGTTCCCCCCATCAGCATTGTGTTCAGCAGCAGGGATCGTTCTTTGAGCAAAATCAAGCAGTAGCTTACGCTGATGATCGTTAGTATGAGGGAGACTAGCTCGTAACAACTCCACAGGCATCTCCCTGCGTATAGCTCCGGTGACTTCTGGCCCAGCAATAGCAGCATTTGGAGCCTGGAGAGGTACAGACTGCATTATACTGTCATATTTACTAAGACAGTACTTTGTGAGAAGCCCAAAGAAGGCATCAAATGATGCCTGCCACATATTACGACTAGGTATGCTATGGTTGGTAGCAGTATTACGGTCTGTCAGCAGCTCAGTCGCCTTATCAAGAAGGGATTTTATGATGACGGTGGCACAATCACCAGCAGAGCTTCCAAGTGGACGAAGAGGTGGCTGTTCCGAGGAACAAACAATGGCAGCTAGGCAAGCACTGAGAGCACTAAGGTCCATGCCATTTATGCATAAAGAAATAGTCTTTGCAAGATTAACTGTGCTTTCAGGTGCACTAGAATCCAATGGCAGGACCCCAAATAGAAATCTCAGGTGGCGGAATATAGCCATGCAAATGACACGGATTAGCTCACTACTGCTTGGGATTAGGAGTTGAAGGTACCGGGAAAGAAGCTTCCGGCCCTTTGGCAGAAAGACTAGGCGAAGAAACACAATATCATCATTTGGGGTTAGCCCAGAGTGGCCAGATTTACCAGGGCTAAATGGATCAACAAGCTGAAGTGATGCAACAAGCTCTTGTAAGAGGAATTCCCTTTTCCTCCTAAGTTGGGAGCCACCATCCTGTGGCTGGCTGAATTTTAAGAGGCGATCGATGTCATCTACAGCAAGCAGAAGGCAAAAGCCATCCTCAATGGTGATTCTAGCAGCCAACATAGGCTCCTGCTCTAGAGGCTTTATAGGTGATTTCTGGTCGTAGATGTTATCCACTGATGCTGATTGTGATTCAACTTCAAGAAGCGGACGAGGTCTACGGATTGAGGAGAAGGAAAGTCTTCCAAGAGCATCCACCCGGAGATACGCATGTGGCTCGTCCTTTGACCGTGCTCTAAAAGACAGATCCTTGGTGACATTTGGGCAGAAATGGTGCTTCATACTTGATCCAGCAGATTTTTTTGCTAGGCAAGCTTGGTGATAATAATCATCTATGTAGGGGTCATTGCAATGAGTTGCAGCGTGTTGCATTCTCAAAATATTTTCAAGCTCTTCAGTTGTCATGTACTTTGAACGAAATTTTGGCCACCCATTATCTAACTTCTGGCTGCCAATATCAGAAGACTGTTGAGAAAAACCAAAGCTCTGTCTCCCCCTGGACATTGGTCTCAATCTCGGGTCTCTAAACTCAGCTTCAAACCTATTCATCATCTGTGATGGGGAATGACCAGGGTGGAACTGCTGAGGCTGCATGTGGGGAAAATGTGATATTGGAGGCAAAAGTTGGTGAATTCCATGTTGTTGTTGTTGTTGTGTCAGCAGTTGAGAAGGAACTGAATTGTTTAACTGAGGCCTGTGATGCTGGGTGACATCAGATAACATATTTGAATTGTCCCATGAAAGGAAACTAGGTCGTTCTGGCCAATGATTCTGTTGCCTGATATTACCGGGGAGCCCAGGTGGACAAAACTGAGCCAGTGCTGCTGAAGGACGAAGTTGGGATAAAGGATAGGGATTTGGTGGAGAGAAAGGCACCTGGACACCAGGAGGAGATGAAACCATTCCATGGTGTGTGTGATGTGGGAAAAACTGTGAGGGTGCACCAGGTGGAGGAAAGGAAATGTGATGAGATTTTGGTATATGAATTGGTTCACTAGGTTGGAATTGTTGTTGCTGCTGAGGAGAGGAGGATGTTCTGTACAGAGGTCTGGAGTCCGTAAAATGCCCTGAATGAGGATGTGGATGTGACCACCACCTTCTACCATCCTGGACATTTTCGACATCTAATATATGCTGATCTTGCCAGTTTGAGAATCCTGGCTCCTGTGCCCAGTTTGCTGTTGATGAACCTAAACAGAGAATATTAGTCAAAAAGTGTTCATTGACCAAGTTGTCGGACAGGTCAACAAGCTTGGAAAATCAAATTCATTAAGAATTATGTTACCAAATTAAGTCCTAACAGGTATACGAAACAATTTAATTCACACAGAAAGTAAATCAACAATTTAACTTGATGCAAAGAAAAGGAGATCATAAGCAAGCAAACGAGTCGCAAATATGACACTATATATGCAAGGAGAGAGAATTTAATCATACATATTGGATGATACTCATTACATCTTATGTAGTTTCTAGGAACTTCTTCAGAAACTTACAAAATCTGAAAACACAGGTCTCAAGAGATGTGCCTGAAACTTATACAGGAAAATTTTGCTAAAGATCTTCAAAAGGAGGGGACTTCATGTAAAAAGTTACATCTTAGTTCTAGCATGCAAAAACCAGATATTGAAGGTTTCGAAGACAAGTCGTACATATCAAGCCAAGACAGGAAGCATAAGCATGTATCAGGTATTATGCCTCTGTACAAAAGGCAATCACAAGACCCCTTAACATCATAACATTACTATTTTTCTACCAATCTTAACTGGAGTAGCAATTGGAAGCCTTGCTGTTACCCTTGTGAAATTGTAGTCACGGAATATACAGTCATCAAAAGAAGTTGGGAAGATGATGATTAAATGGGCAAGTTCCATTGCAATTGATATAACTCTAGAAGACACCTCTCAATAAGGAAAGAGGTAGCACAAATAGAATTATAGTCATGCTGTACCATTTATAACATCAATCATGCTCATCCAAAAAATTGAAAACAATCAGATCCAGTGAAAAATTACTGCCATATATCTTTCAGCATGCAGTTTCCAATGAACCACAGCCATATATTTTTAACATGCAGTTTTCAACAGACCACCATGTCTTCCATTCTAAAAATAATTAAGAATCATCAAGAAGTTTAGCCTATGACTTCTTATATTCTAATAAACCATGGCACACACAACTATAAACTGATGTTCCTCTTTGCATATATCTTCACAAAACAATTTTTTTTCAAAAAAACACTCTACTTATTGGAATATCTTATTAACAGAAATAACCTTACCTTCCCTAGATAAAGAACCCCTATCACCAATTACCCCCGTGCTCCTCAGTTCAACAGTATTCTTGTTCAACTAAAAGAAACCAAAAATAAATATAATTAACAAAATATGGTGCAGCAGCATATAACCATGAGCATATGATACATGGACCAATAAATTTCCAGGTTTAACAACTATAACAACAAATATAGCACAATAATAGACTACTTATGATCATGCACAGTGAACATATTTTCTACAAACAAAGTGTCAAACCATTGAAACTTGCAATATCAAGATGCTTAGAGTATTGCCAGGACAAACAATGTGTTTCTTAAACAGCTGCCTTTGCAAAAGTAATCATTCGAATGAAATGCATATATCTCATTGGTCTTCAAATCCAAGACAACTGAATGTAATGAATCGTAGCCTATCTGAACATGCCTAAGTTGTGCTAACTATATGGCACTAAAGAAACAAAAAAAAGGAACCAAAATCCACCAGTCATAACCATCAATTGAAGATTCAAGGTTAGCACAATTAGAACTAAACAAGGGGAAGAAACTTACAAGATAAAAATTTGTAGCAAATGTAGAAGTGGAGCACCATAATGCATAGTCTTTTTAAACCCATCACAATATTTTGCTAATATCCTATCATAGAAAAATTACCCACAATAGGCCTCCAAGGAACATAAATGCTTCCATTTTGAACATAGAAGAGTTGGAAGTACATGCATTGTTGCTTGTTTCAACATAGAATAGGTACATAGTTCTACATTTCTCTTAGACTGGTATGTCCTGTATGATAGACGGCATGGACCACCATGGCACATACCTCTCATATGTACTCGAATCTTAAAAAAAGTTCTGTGGCATGTGCAGCATATCGTGTATCAGTATGCTGGCACATGCCGAACCTGTATCGGTCCATTTGGGGACAGGCATGGGCCTGATACCCAAAACATCAAACCATGATAGGTGGTGCCTTCTCATCCTCATAAAACAGTCATTCATGCAAATATATAGCAAAAGAGGTTGTTCGTACAGTTTAATCTATAAAAAAAGGCAAAAAAATTTATACAGATTATGTTGAAAAAACATTCCTACTTCCTGCTGTGGAGAGCAAAATCTTTCAACATATTCCAGTTGTATTATCATATAATGGTCGCATGTTGTTATATAGGAAAGTCAACCACAGAAAACAATTCTAAAAAAGAGGATGGCCAAGGTATCACATCCAGTATCTTGATAAGGTCAGATCTATGTATTAAGCCCCATACTTGTACAGTCTTTGAAAATTATATAAGATCATGTTAATAGAAAAACAACAGAGCTACATAAATTGCATGCTTAAGCTTATTTAATGACGAGCTTCTATAGCAAAAATTCAGAAAGCTTGGCATTTCAGTCCATAACAAGAAAGAAAAGAAATCAAGCTTTCCCTCTACTGGTTGTGGAAGGACTATGTAAAATATTTGTGTTCCATTTAAGGCATGAGATCATGCACCAGGCACACATCTAATGTAAGCATCAAGCAGATGCGTCAGGCCCTTGACTAATATGACATATTCATGAACGCCAATACATGAAAATTTTAAATCTTAAAGCTTTAGGAGAAGCAATATCTAAGGAGCCTTTAGTTGGAAGTCATAGATTCTAGAAACCTAGACCAAATTTTGGTCAACTGACAAAGCCTTAAGGTGTTAATTTTTAGGAAACACGTTACAAAAAATCGATGCCCTCAAGGTGAAATCTTGTAACTCTCAACTAGTCATCGATATTTCAAAGTCTGGTTTACAACAACACTGAGGCATGCTGAAAGCATCAGACTGCACCTGGTTATACACAATCTTCACTTTATTAATTCTCATTTACCAAAAGTTGAATAAGAATGAACCAATCATGAGAACTAAATATGGATGCATATGCGAGCATCTAATGCGGCAAGAAGAATAAAACAGAAGATACAACGACACTAAGGTACAATAACAACAATAGCAACAACAACAAAGCTATAAATCACAACTATTAGGGTCCCCTATATGGATCTTTTGCCGCCGTTGAGATTTATAAAAAGTCATATGTTAACTTTAGAATACTTAATCTTTATTTATAATTTCTATTAAGCTCTTTTTAGGTCTTCCTCTACCTTTCCTCGTACTACTAATATTAATCATTTCACCTCTTTTGATTATGGCATCCATAGGCCTCCTAAGCACACGTCTATACCATCTTAAATAATTCTCTCTCATCTTATCCTCTATCAATACAATACAATGATACCTAATTATTCACGGATAAAAATATTTTCTTTATTATCTTTCCTAGTAACTTCACACATCCATCTCAGCAACACTAACTTTTTGTATATATTGTTTCTTAACTATCCAACGCTCAAATCCATAAAGCATTGTTGGTCTCACAACTGTTTTCTTTCTTTTACTCTGAAAGGTATCCAATGATCACACAAAACTCCTTACGTCCCTCGTCATCTTAACAATCCTATTTTACTCTATGAATAATATTTTTTTCGATCTCTTCATCTTGTTGAATAATTGATTCAAGATGCCTAAAGCATTTACTTGAAGAAACTTCTTGTCCATCCAACTTAACCATATTCTCCTGTCTATTCCTAATATTACTAAAAATATGTCTCGTATATTCAGTTTTAGTCCTACTTAATCTAAAACCTTTAGTTTATAAGAATCATCTCTATAGCTGAAGTTTATAATTAGTTCCACCTAGACTCTCATCAACTAAGACAATATCATCAGCAAATAACATATACCAAAGAGGTCTATTATGTAAATGACTAGAAAATTCATCCATTATCAATGTGAAAAGGTAGGGACTTAATGCGAAACATTGATGTAATCTTATGCTAATAGGAAACTCACTAGACACACTCCCTTTAGTTCTAACACTAGTGGTTCCATTATTATGCATATCCTTAATAACATCAATATAATTGATGGATATATTTTTTTAAAAAAATCGACCATAATAAATCTCTAGAAACTCTATCATAGGTTTTCTCTAAATCAATAAAAATCATATACAAATCTTTCTTTTTTTCCCTATATTTTTTCGTTAAGTATCTTAATAAATAAATAAATTCTATGGTTGATCTTTGTGTCACAAAACCAAATTGACTTTCAGAGATATTTGTTTCAAGTCTTATCCTGCTTTCAATAACTCTTTCCTAAAGCTTAATAGTAGGGTTATCAGAATGCCAAATAATACCAAGAACACCAAGGTATATAGGAATTTTCAAGCTATTAATATGATACCAGCTAATGGCAGAATGCGAAATAATAGAAGATATAATAAGCCTCAAAATCCAAAATAACTTACTTCATGTCATGATTATAGGGAAAGCCACTGTAAGTTAATAGTAGATATTCTATAGGCAAACAGTCTAGCAAGCATTTGACTCAAGAATATGTAAATTCAGATAGCACTATATATGTCAATTATCCAGCAGAAAGATAGCGCCTGTCTTAAACCAAATGAGACAAATATGTGCCTCAGATTGGTACTTTATCATATTCTACCAAGACATTAACTGGACAATTTTCACTTATTGCTACTCCAATACTGTCATGAAATCATTAGTCATCACCAACTAACCTCATTAAAAGTCCTAAAATAAAATGATAAAGAAAATATCTCAACTCCAAGAGGCATTAGCATGGCGGTCGATCAAGAACATGTATTTGATTCTTAAAGTTCAAGATAACATAGGTAACATGACGCATATGTCTTATGCATACTCCACACCTTCAAGCTTCAATGACTTCCCGTACCATCAAGGAAGCTAATAGCTTCCAGGGCCATTAGGTCTTTACTATATCTAGTAATTCTATAGACTTGTGATCCATAACACTTTACTGGAAAATATCTATATGAATAAAACATTGGGAAAAAAACTAACCTTTGAAAAGGTACTTGCAAGGTCATCAATATCAGTGATGGATCCAATGCCTTCCCCCTGTAAGTATGGTAAGATTGTTTTATTAAGAACAGGGCTTCATAAAACCACTTCCATACTGTCAGAGCAAGATATGTGCTCAAATGAACCAACATCATAGGTGCAAAACTCATATATGCGATATTAGCATAAAAAAGTATATTCATGCATCTTTGCATGCAAGAACAATAATTCAGAAAAACAAGATAGGAAAAAGATGAATAGCTGCTTAATAGAATGACTTTAACCAAAATATAACAAATTTAATACTCTGTCAGTTTTGATCATAATGTATCCAATGTTGACATAATAAAGATAAGCTAATATTGTATATTAAAGTTGCAGACAAAACTATGGAGTGGAGCAGCAGCAAGCTTGAAAGCATGTACAAAGCAAAATATCAATATCAAGACATTCATGGTTAACATAAGAATCCAGATTGGTATCAAAGTGTTAACAGACGAAACCAAGCTACCAGATACAATGGAATAGATATGAGTGAAAATCAGTAGTGAAGATTGACTCCAGCAATGTTGATATAAACCAAATTAAAATAAACTAGGAAGCATAATTAGGATATGAATGATGACAATATCAAGTAATTGCGTATTCCTGTTGAAGAGACTTACTTCTACTCTATCCCCCAGGTAAGAAAATTGATAATCCTCATCATCAATCCCAAGAAAGCCAGAATCGTCACCAACATCATCATCTTCCAATCCCCCTAGCTCAACTTCCTCCATGACACTATTTCCAAAAAATGCATACTGTGAAGCATCAAATTGAGCTATATCTGCATCGAGAGTAAGAAGGCATGAGATGAAGTTAAATACGAACCAAGATTTATTAGCTAAACATAGCAATTTCAGTACCATCATCCTTGCTTAACAGCTGACGTAGAGTAAGGAACAGAATTCATGGAGGCATTACACATGCAAACATTGAAACTCAATGAAATCGTAAAAAATACGGGAAGACCGTGTCGCATGTGCCTTGTTTGAAAGATCTCGTACCTAGTCACAACTAAACGTTCTAAATTTGAACAATTAGCTTAGTTTAATCACCATATACAAGAAGTCAGGTTTTCATGTCCAGGTGCCCACTAAGAGGGCTAGCTGACCATTTCAAATCCAAGGCCACGTAGACCAACAAGATCAGAGAGCAAGTACCCAGAGAAAGAAGAAACAGAAATCAACATCCGACTAAAAATAATAATATAGGCATCGTTTTCCTGATACGAGAGAAAAAAAAGAACAAGTTCGTCATTTTGGCATTAAGGCAAAAGATGGATCCGCCACTAGAAGGCCAACCACTTGTCCAAGTCACTTTACGATCACCTGAAGACCTCATGCAAAAGATACAGAAGAAAAACCCGACGAGAAAGCGGCATCCCACATCCCTTAAACCCAATTCAACAGTACGACTCCATCAAGAACCAATCTTTCCACCAAATCAACCCACAAAACCAAATCTACAGCACCATATAGACCGAGATCTCGATGAAAAACGAGAAGAGAAAAAGAAAAGAGAGATCTCACCAGAGACACCGCCGCCCTGTCCTCCAATCCCATCACCGGCGCCTGCGTCCTCCGAGCCCCCGCCTTCTCCATCGATCACCGCCATAAACGAGAGCCCTAGTATCGGAAATCACGACCACAAAGACAAGGAAAAAGAAGCAAGGCCCCGAATTCGAATCTACCCTAAGGTTGTTTGGCGAGAACTGAGATCTGGCTGCAAAAAAGATCCAACCTCGATGGCCGGAAGACTTAAAAAAGAAGTCCGATGAAAAGAAATAATAACAGAATAAGAACCTAATACTACTCCAAAAGAAATATTTATAAGGAGAGTGAAGGTGAGAGGGTTTTAATGGGTATATAATTCTATGATCGTCTTTATGCAGCTTGTAATGTCCATCGACGGATGAACAGATATAAGGCCGTGGCGGTGGTGAAAGAGAGAGAAAGAGAAAAATATTCTTAATTTTTATTCATGTTAATTTAGACTAATGACATCGATCTTTGGATTAAACTCTGCCTCCCCAACAATCATAAGCCAACACTTGTGGTTTTAGCAGTAGGATTAATGATCGGATCCCAGAGAGAGAGAGATGTGGGATTATGTGGCGGAGAGGGTGAGGACGAATCGAGTGGGCATGAGGCGTGAGGACAAAAAACCTGGTATAAATAATAATAATAATAGTCTTTTTTTTTTTGGCTTTTTTGTTTTTTAGAGGTAAAGGAAAAAAGTGAGAAAATTGGGTTGTCCTATTACAAAACTTTTATGATTCCTTTTTTTTAAGGTCCTATAACAGTTTTCTATGTATCTTTTTTTATATGTCATATATTCCTATATAATAAATTTTAACTACTATGGTAGCATGATATATATATATATATATATATATATATATATATATATATATATATATATATATATATATATATTATTTTAAGTACCTAATTACAAAATAATATATTCAAAATGGATTTATTTATAAAATAGGTATGATGGGTTACTAATTCCACCTAAGTTCTTTCTTATCATATCTCATATGTATTTTTAGATAATCATTATTGCATCACCAAATTCGTTGTATTTTTTAATTCCTAAAACTAGTGTTTTTGGAAGAGAAGAAATTAAAGTATGATTTTTTTTAAGGAAATAAATCTTAAAAATTAAGATAGGATTATTTTATAAAATATTTTATATATCTCTAGATGAAGAGAAAAATAGTCTTGGATTTTCTCTACAGAAAGTGAGAGAAAATATATAAAAGAATATGTATAAGCATATTTATTTATATTAATTGAATGAATTTTATAATTTAATCTTCTCCTATGGGTATAATCTTACACAGACTTTTTCAATTTAAATTTAATTATTAATTTCAATAACATAAATTTAAGATTTAATCAGTAGGATTATTTTATGAGACATGAGATAATCCACCAACCCAAGTATGGCCCTCTGCATCAGTCACTGAATTGGCTGCTGGCTTGGATCCAATCACTGGACAGATCCTACAGAATGTTTCGCTTGAAACCAATTTGTCAGATCCCAAAGTAAATGCCACTTGCTAAATAATTGCCTCTTGCCTATGTCTACTATTAGTAATGCATGCTTATGGAAGAAGAAGAAGAAGACAGATAAATCTTGTGGGCTTCATGGACTGGATGAGGACAAGTATACATATATTAGGTCGGTGCACTCGATGTTCTCCAGATGTCGCAGCTCAGGTCAACCTCCTGTCCACGTCTCGTCCAGCGCAGGAATTGAGTACGGAAATTAAAGGAGATGCTCGGGAAGGAGGGCCCGAAAGCGAACACCTGCTGCTCTAATCAACGATCATCGAGGTCTTCTCTCTTTCTTTAATACAGCAGAAGAAGAATGAATGATGGTTGAAGCAACCTTTTCTTCTCAGACTTTGCAGCAGCAGTCCATGGATATGAGACTTGGATTCATGGCCATTTGTCAACGATGGATCACATAAACTCTCTGACGACACGACTCATTGCATTTGGCAGATCGAGAGACGGAAGACTGGAGAAACTGTAGAGGAATCAGGTTCACCATCTCCTCCAGGGTCCATGCAAGATACACGCCACTGAACTCGGAACCACCATTTGGTGCCAAGTCGATCCGTTCGCCATTCAATTCAGCATGGATCGGCATGGTCGTCGTCCACTGCATGCATTCACGCGAGCTGAGCCCCATGGAGATATTGTCTTCAGCTAGTGATTTCATGCTCTATAAATTAATGGAAATTTAATATTATCATGTCAAACGAATCATAACAAATGACATCAAAACCGATCTAATATCAGAGGAGCCTGATTGAATCCTTGTGTCCAGAGGAATGAGAGTGAAACCAAAGAGAAAAGAAGCTACTTTCGTATTCTTGTTTGACTCGAAAAGTGATGCATGCTTCACAAGCCTAATGTCAAACCTTCCGACTTTTTGTCATGTTAGTATTTTTAGAAAAATAATTGATGTGGTAACATGAGCTAAATAGTCAACTTTACTAAAAGAGTCGAATGAATTATATATAAAAAACTTATAATAGTATGGCAAAAAATATATTAAATGGTTGTTAAACTCAAAGAGGATGATTTTGTTTCAACACAATAATTTCAGACAATCATGTGATCTTGTAATCTGAAACTTGGCTGTCGATGATCCATCGGTCAGCATCCATACTATTAATGTCAAATTTGATCCACATCTTCAATCCGATATATCAAAATCGATATGATCTTTTGTCCAAAACTTATCGTGTTTGGTGGAATTCTAATCTTGATGGGTGATTCGGTCTCCGGACCTTAGATCCACTCTCAACCCAGTCTCAGAGCATTTATCTTTTCCTCCCTTCCTCCCTTGCAGTTTCTCCATTCTCTGAGTCGATGCTCTCACTATATTGCCATTGGCACGTTTAGATTGTTTATGACTGTGTTTGTTGGAGGATTGTGCAATCTATCATTCGATACGGAGTCTGTCTTTTGTGTTTCGTTAAGCAGAAAAAGACATGGATTGATAAAGCAGTGGATCCTCCTGCATGATTAAAGGGACCTGCGGCCCATGGAGATCATGCAGGCTTGCTCGGAAGAGTTAAAAGAAAGACGTTCAGAGCAAGTGCATGTCCACATGAAGTGAATGCTACAACTCAGCCCTTCTCATGGTTGGGAGCCCCACCCAGAAACAAGATGTCTCTTTCAAGACACCACCTCACCTTGTTCACATCCCATCAGCTTTAATTATACGAGAACCATCCAGAAAGCAGCCAATGTAGTTTGAGACTCGTGGGTTTATTATTATGTTCAGCGAGCTGCGGCGCTTATTTGACTCAGATTTTGCCCCATATGACGAATTTGATCTGATATAATCCTTTTTTTTTTGGGATACTATCCCTTTCATGATTGAGAATCGAATGCCTCTGGATAAGATGGAATTGATTTTTTTTTCTACTATCACTTTCTTAATGACACACCTTTTCAAGGTCGAATAATCCTACAAAACTACACTTGTATGCTTGTTTAGTTTGAATATATATTTTTGTAAGAAAACTATATTCTAGTAATGAGAGATCCATGAAGGAGTGATTTTTCCTGTTATAGGATATAAAAATAAAACTAAAACTAGCAACATTTAGGTTTTATGTTATAGTGTATATATATCTGGAGAGACTCTTAGTTTGTAGGGCCTCAAGTGTAACCCCTATGTGTTAGCGCAGAATGATCTCCTTTTACATGTTAGGTTGATCGGGCACCCTTGTTAGGTGGCATCATAACATCACCATACTAATAATTATACTTCTTAGATGGTGTTACGTCAGTGTCCTGACTAAGTGAACTCTCATAACCAACTTGACAAGACATGTCAACTCTTGATTGGTCGCTGTCAAATCTAACAATATTAGTTATTTGAATTGCTACATCAAAGGCGACGGAAAGAACAATTGATGGTCACAAGTGCAATGTACCATTTCTTCATATTACTGTGGACAACGTAATTAAAGCTACATAAAAGCATACACTGCATGCAATTACAGAGGTAAGTCCTGTAGAACTTTGCGTTAGTCTTTTTTGGAGCTTTTCATGCGTTAAGATTAGTTAATTCTGATCTGATGGTGTGTGGATGAGACGATGATGATAAGATCTCGGATCAAGAGAAGATGATAGAACTGAAGCTTCCTTGCAGACTTTGATTGGTGTTCGAGCTGTTGGTAGTCATCGAACATATTTGCCCAGTTAAAATGATAAAGAATTATGAGAGCTGGGTTTCTGAAACAACTGCTAGTTGTGGAAGAATTTAAGGAGTGGCGAATGCCGTGGTCCTGTGAAACTGAGCTTTGCGGGGAGAGCGATTGGGCTTGTCATTCTTCTACACTTTCTAACCTTTGTTACTACATGTCTTACACAATCCAGTTCTGCAAGTGTTCCCACAAATCTGTCTACATGCAACATAACCTGCGTGCCGCCATGTGTTAAGATTCTGAAGAGATGTTATGGTGATGTTATGATGGAGCACCCTGGTTAAATGGCATCATAACATCACCCTAGAATTCTGGAGGAGGTAGTCACTACCAGTCCAACTTTGGAGCTGCACTTGTAGCAGTCATGTTCATCCTGCTTAATTATAGCAGTTCTGCGAGTTACAGATACCAAATTCAGGGACATGTTCTAAATATATATTAGTAAACATACATCTTTTGGATTCCTATTGATGCACAGTAATGCATCAGTGGTTGAGCCAATTGCCTAATCAACCAGTTTGGCAGATTCTATCAACAAGAATGATTGGTGTTCGTGGATGATATATACTGTTCTCACAGGATTTCTTGGGGGGGTGAAAGCCACAGGAGTAGAGAGAGAGAGAGAGAGAGAGAGAGAGAGAGAGAG